TGATGTGTTTATTCTTCTAAAATGGGTGAATATTTAATGAGGAAGCACTAAAATGTTTTCACCACATCATTGTGATTAGCAGCTATCATTGAGTAAACTTAGTGTGTGATGTGTATAATGTGTACACAATAAGTGACATGTGACAGGCATGATATTGCCTGAAATAACACATTTCCTTGAACTCCAAACTCATGACTTGGGAGGACTCAGGATGGAACATATTTGCATCTCAGGATGCTCAGGTGGGATTACTGTCCTGAATGAGAGTGATTTTTAGGAAAACTCAACTTCTCTAAAAGTGTGTGGTTTTCTTTCAACAAATAATGAGTGCAGCCCTTTTGTGACACAGTCTTCACAGTAGAATCTCCTTACTCACTCAGGGAATGAGGGAAAACTTGAACCAAGTTCAGTGTATTCTTTCCTTAGCTTTAAAAATCACTAGGGGAGAAGTCTCCATCTTCTTTGGGTATGCCTTCTGTGGTCAGAATGTTCCACATATCTACCTTCTCTGCTAAGCTGATGTGTGAAGTCAACCTTCCCCATACCTTAATTCCCAACATAGAAATGAATCTAGATTTTTCAAATGTATTTGATTGATTCTTCAAGAAGTGTATATACAATGAACTTTGATGATGTTTGACTCCTACCGCCCATTTCCAACTACACCCTCATTTCAATCCCAGTTAATTCATTCAGCCATTCAAAAAAATTTACAGTACTGGCTTCAGTAGCTGAAGCAGGAGAAAATAAAAAGGGATGGTAAGCGGAGTTTGGGCTGGATTGATTTTGTTGAGTATTCCTTCACTTTCAATCCATGTTAGAAAACAGTTTCACGGACCTGTATGAATTCAGAAAGTTCACAGCATTTTAAGATTTTCAATCTGCCCGAATCTTATGAAATCAAACAGAGGAACTTTGTGCTCTTAGGAATCTGTGAAAGAGTCTTATACATAAAATGACAAACATCTGTGAATTACATGATTTTTCTAATCAAGATATTCTGATTTCTAAAAGACTACAACTTATGTTAAGTATAGCCCAGTTTTGGCTCCTTTATTTCAAAAACCATCCACAAAAGCTCCCTGATACCTTTGCAACTTCCTCTGCATTTACATACCAGGAGGTTCTAAAATTGTGACAAAAACAGTTTTATTTGCCTTAAACCAAACATGTAGTGAAGCAAGACATAAATAGACAGCCCATCATCAGTGTGGGGCGAACATGTGGAAAGGAGGAGACTCCTCAGGGCAAGGATGGTGCCTGTCAATGGTATTAGCCTACAGTGACACAAGAGAAAATTAATTAAAGTAAAAGCATATTCCAGTACATTTATGATAAAGAAAATTTATCAAGAACACAAAATTTCTCTTCCATTACTGTATACATTATGACATTAAACTCTTGAGTTTTGTCAATGTTAGCACACACTTGCAGTTATTGGAGAAACTAAGTCACCTCAAACCACAATCCCTTGACTAGTAATGAAATCCCCCACCATATTGTTGGAAACAAGGGTTTGTATGGGGGTGGTTGTGGTTTTCTTTTGGTTTTAAGGAACTAGAAAAACAGGTCAGTATGTTCCCCCTGGGTTGCACTGACAGCATAGCCTAGGTTCCTTTGTATATTCATTTTATTTAATTTTCATGTGAAACTTGATTTTATAAAGGCAAATGTCTTCCTCTACATTGAATGTGGAAATATTAAAAGGTTATGACATAAAATAAAATATGTCCTGGTGAAATAATTGTTTCTTATTAAATGAAAAATAACGGTGAAAATTAGTATCCTTGGCATTAGCATCCTCAAAAGACTGTACACACACACACACACACACACACACAGCTACTTACACACTTAGGAATAATTATAATTTTGGGCCAACCCTGGGGGGCTCATGGCTGCTAGTATTATATCATCGGGCAGCATTCTCACTTAAGATTCTGTATTCTAAATCAATTTTATTTATTTAACACTCAGGAGGGGAAATAACACCTATCTTCATGTTTTTCTTGCTGTTTATCCAACAGTAGTACAAACAGAAGCCTTCCGTATTTGTATATGTAATGAAAATACAATTTGAAGATTCACAAAATCAGCTAGTTTCGTCACAGCCACAAAAATCAACAGAGAAGAAATTAGAACCTGTCAGAAATAAAAAAGTGACACGGCAATGCACACTCTCCCGGGCCTTTCCTAAAACCAGTGCCCATCACATATTTTATGTATCCTCATCTCCAGGTTCCCCCCAGCCTTGCTCTGCAGAGTCTGGCTTGCAGCTTTAGCATCTTTGCAACCCCAGCTGCTCCCCACAATCATGTCTGCCTGCAGCATCTTCACTCCCTCACCTGGCCAGACCCCACCCATACCTCCAGTCGACCCCACCTATATCTCAGTCTCATAGTCTCAGACATGGGCCTCCACAGTGGGTGATTTTGAGGCAGTGACTGCTCTAAATGTGTGTAGTGTGAACTGCCCTCTGGGATGCCTTCTTCAGCCCCTTCCTCCTCACGTCGCCACAAGTTTTCTCTGCGTTGCCACAGGATGATTCTCTCACCACCTCCAGCATTTAAGTCTTCCAGAGTACATTGCAACTGCTCCCCTCTCTTTCCCCTTCTGTACATGTAAGTCTAAATTGGCATCCCCTTAATGAGCTGGTAGCTGTACATGCACTAGTGCTGCCTTGAGGAAGTCTGTGTGACGCTCAGAACTTTGTGCTCCATTGACACAAGCAAGAAGTCAGCTCCAGTGAAATTCTCTCCACTGCCCTGTTTATCTCATTCCATCAACAACTTGGGTGTTGATCCCCTTGGCTTCTTATCCTGCTTTCCATAGAGTAGTCATGGAGTTCCATAGCCTCTCTTCCTAACTGCTTGAAAATCTGCCCACTACTGATGACCACCTTCTCGCTGCTGGCACTCATAAAACAGAGCGAGGCTGATTCTTGCTTTTGACTTGATTCATTCTCATAGTCTCCTCAACAGTCCATTTGCCTGCAATTTTAAAGTTAGCACACCAGTTCTCTACACAAAATTCGGAGTGATCAATTGCCCTGGATTTCATGTCAAATCCCATTGTTTACTGGGTCAAAGTCTTGAGTGGTTCTTACATGTTTAGAGCAACCATGGTAAATATGGGGATCATATTGCCACACTTCAACTCTCTGAGATTGCCAACCACAAAAGCAGAGGAGCCTGGTTCACATTGGATCCTCATATGCCCAGGGTGGCTGGGAGACAGATTCTTTGGTTTAGTGACCTGTAAGTTGCCCATGCCAACCCATCACCCATGTCATTGCTTCTTCAAACTAGATTTGAATAGAGTCTGTTTCTTGGTTTGTTGTTGATGCCCAATCTGCAGACCTCTGTTCTCATCTCCCTAGGAAAGTCAGCAGGACATAAAACAAGGACACTCACCAAGTGAATTTCGGCATATTTCTCCAAATGCTCTAGCTCCAAACAGTGTGGCTGTGAGACCTTAAGCTTTAATAAATAAACCCACAGAGGCCACAATTCAGGGCCCAATCGTCCTCTTAGCTTTGGGGTCCTTGGACTTTGTGTATTTGTCCATTTTTGCCTTGATAGTTTTTTAAAATCTTCTGTGTTTTATTTATGTCTCTCCTGTTCAAGCCATAAGGATCTCTTTGTAGCCTCCTTTGGATGGGACGAGCTCTATGGCTTAGAACAGTGAATATGTTGCCCCTATGGCTGCAGGTGGGGTTCAGGTATAATTCAACTTCATATTTCTGCCCCTTCCTCTGTGTCAAGGCTGGTTTCATTCCCAGGCTCAGCTGAAGCAGCATCTGTGCCATTGTCACAGTGTGGGCATACTTCATCCTTTCAGCTGCTTTTTGACCGCTAGCAGCAAGGACCTGAGGTTCCATGAGAACAAAGATGTGTGCTTGCTGTCCTTTGCTGGGAGCACAGATGTTCCATCTCAAGGGGTTCAACAGACTGCCTCACACCTTTGTGATGGTCCAAACACAACTGTGCTCAGCAGAAACTAAGCGTTTGACACTAAGCTTTGGATGTCAAATGCTGACTTTTCTCTAGGCCAGTAATACAAAGTCTGTCTCTGTCTTATGACGCTCAAAGTGGGGCTGATTAATGTGATGCTGATTCAGTCAAACACATGTTTGGCGTATTTTCAGCTTACAAACGGTTCCCTATGATGTAAGGTGATCTTAAGTTGAGAGGAATGTGTGTGTTTATTTTCGGACACTCCATAAATTTTTAGTACCTGGCTAAATATACATAATGATTTTTAAGAGAAAACTCTCATTTTAAATGTATATACATTTAAAGAGATATACAAAAGATTTAGAGGGAATACTGTAAAGGCTGTGGGGAAAATGCTTGGCAAATTTTTATTTGTAACCCAAATGCAGCCATCTGGGTGCCCTGAGCCCAGGAGCCTTGAGTTTTATGTTGGGTAGGTAGATGTATTCTCCAGAATATTAGAATCTTAACGAGGCTCGAGACCCTTCTTATGTCAGGGACTTGTCAGCTGGGTAGTAGTTCCAAAGTTCTCTCCAAGAAGAGATCTCTAATAAAAATAACTCAGAGAAGATTGCCATCTATTGAAATAATAAATAATGATAAGAGCATGTCCTTCAAAAAACAAGATGCACCTAAGAGGGAGATAGAACAATGAAACTGCATCATACTCTTAAAGAGATGCTTGAGGATGCTCAAGGACCACAAAGTTGGTGAGGCAGAAGGAAGGTGGGAACCCATAGCACCTGCCATAGAGGATTGACCTTGAACCACAAAGAGATGGAATCAGCAAAGAATCATCAAACAATTAGATACAAAACATGGTAGTCAGTTTACCGATATTTGGAAAGTATATCAATAAAATTACATGCTTGTCACCCAAGAGGAAGAAGGAAATAATGAGGGTTATTTCGATAGTGTTAAAGAATAGGAAAGCTTGCCCAAAGCAGAGGTGCTTCAAGGGAATCCTGGCAATAATAACAGGGAGACTTTCTGGGCAGCACTTACCTCTTTTTGAAAGCAGGAAACCATGAAGTCGAATCAGAGAGTGGTAAATTAAGAAGGCTGCCGTTCATGAATTCTGTTCTCTTCCAAATGGCCCCTCTGTAACGATGAAAACTCAGCTTGATTCTACCAGAATTCACCGTGGCGCAGGCGACACCCCCATAATCTATTCAGGAATTTCAAAGGCAGCAAACAGAGCACAGAGAGTTCAAAAGGAAAATGCCACTAGAAGAAAGTATTGGACTGTAGGGATCATTCTAGGGAAAGATAGACACCAAGTGCATGCATACACATACACACACATGCACATATACAAATATGCATGCATGCAAACACACACACATATACAAGTGTGCATGCATGCAAACACACACACACACATGCACACTAATATACTGATCACAATACATGCACACTGCACCAAAATGTATGTAAATATAAATTAGAGGAAAGAGATTTAGTGATTAGAGCTGAACCTTGACTGATGCTAGATATGCTGAGACTGAACTCATCAGCCATGGCGACCTGGGTCTTATTAAGGAGACTGTTCATGCTTCACTTTCTGCATCTGTAATTGAGACATTGAACCTCCATATGGTATTATATAATATCCCTAAAGTCTTAAACCCTTGATTCTACTCTTCCATGTTAGTTGAAAAGGAAGTGAGAATGAATGAACCACAAGTAGACTTGAACTGAGATTTAACATGAAAATAGACAGTTGTGAATATGCATGACGACTCAACATCACAATCAAATTTAAACTGCTTCATGACAGCAATGCTTGGACAAATAGATGTTAATGTACCTGTCATATCTATGATGGAGAAGAGAATGTATGGAAGGACTAGTACATTTATTTCTTCCGGATAGGTTACAAGTATCGGATGCAGAAAATCTTAGAATTACAGTAATTGCTAATGAGTTTTCTTGTTTAATTTTCCTTCCTTCCTTTCTTCCTTGCTTCCTTCTTTCCTTCCTTCCTTTCTATTCTTAATGCAGACAAAAATGATCTGGAATTTATTTTATGACACAGGCTGACTTTGAACTCATCAGTCTCTTGTCTTGAACCTCCAGAGTTCTGTGATGACAAGGATAAGACATCATACTCATACTGGTAGAAAAACAGACATTAACAAATTGGATGAATGAAACAGAATTTTCAAAAAAAATGAAGAGAACAAAAATAGAAGATTGTGATATAATAAAATTAGTGAACCTATAAGAAAAACGTGACATTAAATGAGAAAATAAAACAAGTTAGAACGCAAGTGTTAAAGATTCCATGGCAGTGGACACATAATAATTGAACTGACCTCCTTTTAAAGGCAAAGTCATGGTTGTAGAAGAAGTGGTTTCTGCTGTGATTCTTAGAAATTCAATTAATGAAGGGTAAGTGTACTTCTAAAAGAACAATTTGTTTTAATGTTAGAAATAAAAGGATGGGGGAAATCAATACCAGACCAGAGAAAGAAGGCACACCCACGCTATTCTCAGACATGAAAATTAAGGCATAGTAAAAAAGGCAAACATCACAGATAAAGGGACACCAGACAGAACATCTAGTAACTGCACAGCTCCCAGTCTTCTACACTGGAGATGGTGTGTGACATAACTCTGTGTTACCAGAATATTCCTATCTAACTATTTCATCAAAATCAGATCCCCAACATCACAGACCAGCCTCCACCATGGACCAACCCCCATCACTGATCAGCCCCCATCACAGACAAGCTCCCACCACAGACTATCCTCCATTATAGATCAGCCCCCATCATAGACCAGCTTCCATCACAGATTATCCTCCATCATAGATCAGCCCCCATCATAGACTATCCTCCATTATAGACCAGCCCCCATCACAGACCAGCTCCCATCACAGACTATCCTCCATTATAGACCAGCCCCCATCATAGACCACCTCCTATCACAGACCAGCCCCCATCACAGAATATTCTCCTTCATAGACCAGATCCCATCACACACCATCCCTCATCACAGACTATTCTCCATCATAGACCAGATCCCATCACAGACCATCCCTCATCACAGACAAGCTCCCATCACAGACCAGCCCCATCATAGATCAGCTCCCATCACAGACCATTTCCTGTCACAGACCATCCCTCGTCACAGACCAGCCCCCATCACACTTCAGGCTGCAACAAACACAACAGAAGGAAGCTAGAGAATAGAGTTAAATATGCAAAGTACCAACTAATTCCCACAGCAGAGAAAAGCCTCTTTGACTCATTGTGGAATACTTAGGACACACCCAAAAGGTACATGTAATTTACACTTAGAACTTTACAGGCTCCTTTCAATTCTCAGACATCCAAAAAGCAATCTAAATTGCTTGGCATAGGCAAATACTTTCAGATAAATGTCTCTGAGGATTTAAAAGTGAAACTGGTAGTAAAATGCAGAAATTTGTAACCTATAAGTCATGACAAAAAGTATGTATTCAAATGAAAATTAGAGTTTTGAAATGTCTATATTAGCATATTAGCATAGAGAATATTCCAATGTGATAAAAGACCCTAAATATATCTTTAAATATCAAAACCTAACATTAATGAAACTTAGGAAAACTTCACAGTGGAGTTCATGGCGAGGTAGTGTCTAGCCATTTGACCTGGACTGGAAAATTTCACTGTGGATGGAGGGGATGAACCAAGGGACTTGGGAAACTCACAAACCTTACAAGGATCCTCTTCAAGGTTACATTAGCCATAAAGCGCCAGGGACAAGGAAACTTCAGTAGAGCTGTCTGACAGTTGGACTGGGCCCTAGACTTGCCCAAGACATCTCCAGTTCTGGGGTGGGATTTTTAGAGATCAAACAGTCTGATACACCCACTGCCCTGTAAGTAACTCTGATAACTCACTGGATGCCGATAAATCCACTGGTTAAGCAAGCTAGATGTGGGCAGAATCCGTTCTTAGATCTTCATTTCAGTCTCTTGGATTCCAGACCCGAAAGGAACTTAGAATTCAACATTCTAAACAAGGAATATAAAATTAGCCAGCAGTGCTGGCTCCCTGTTTACCACCAACTACCCTGACCCGAAGAACAGGTGCTAGAAGTCTCTGGATAGTGGGAGAGAGAAGGCAGGCAGCCCAGGGATTCTGGAAACTTAAGAAGGATAGGCGTGTCCATGTCCTAGAAGACCCAGTGTGACACAGGATGGGGGTGTCCATGTCCTAGAGGGCCCAGAATGACTAAGCAGCAGCCTGTGGTTTCTGACCATCAGGTCTCCCTTATCCACAAGAGAAATCCTTCTGGCAAGCCCCACACTCTTCCCACCAATCTGTACTGAGAAGTATCATCCTCAGAAGTCTCTCATCTCAAAATTCACCAGTCCAGTCAGAAATGTAGAGCTCATTTGATGTGCTTTGATAAAATACAGTAAAGCAAAACACCCTCCCCCCACCAAAGTCTGGGAGCTGAAAGTATTAGCTCAGGGTACCAGATGCCTAGTGAGGACCCTTGCCCTGATTTATATATGACCATTTCATGTATCATGACAGGATGACAGGGAGACAATCTCCTGTATCTTGTTACAGGGCACTAGTCACATCCATGACTCTTAACTAAGAACTCCATGGCTTCTTTCTAGTCCTGCCTTTAGCACCTGTCATCTTCAGGACTGAGGTGACAATAATTGAGTTTTTAGGGGCACTGAAGCTTACAACATAGGAGCAGAACCTAGAAAAGACATATAAAACCAAACTGCAGTGCCACTATAATCATTCACATGTGAGACGAAGTGACTGTAGTGCAAATAACAGTAGATTATAGTATGTGTGCACACACAGACTTACTGTACCTAAAACTAGAACACAAGAGATGGAAATGATCTCAAACCCAGCAGACAAATGAAGAATGAAGACAGAGGCAGAAGTCATTGGAACCAAAAATAACAAGGAATAAAATGAATGAAACACACACACACACATACACACACACACACACACACACACACACATTATTACAAAGGAGCCAACAATGTCAGTAACAAAGATGAGAATGGCAGGATTAAAGCTGAGTAGCCCTGTAGCCCTTAGTAGATAAGGGCACCACAACCTTGTGCTTGTGAGACTAACAGGAATCAGATCAGCTCTTCAAAATCTACAGAGTTGTAAAACCGATGGAGAAGACAGATGATCTGAATAGCCATTTAAACATTGAAGGAAATTTAAAATACCATCTTGGAGTTTTTATCTTGATTTTTTTGTGATAGATTTCAGGTAGCCCAGACCAGACTTCAGCTGACTAAGTAGCAGAAGCTGACTTTGAACTCCTGAACCTTTGTGTAAGTCTTAGAGTGCTAGGACTAAAAGTATATACCACTATGTCCAGCTCAGTCTGGTAGATGGTTTATATCATCACAACCCTCTGATACACATTCTGAAGTCACACATTGTTGAAAGACTTTTCTTTCACTAATAATTGTTTCTTAAACAAATGAACAATCATCTCTCAAGCAAAATACACAAATGGGTGAAGTAATTGACACCCGAGAAGAGACTGAACTCATTAGAGATCAGTGTATCCCTACCTTCCTTAGATCATCACATTCCCTGGTACTTAGAAGTCATGTTCCCCTTTGTAAAAAAAAAAAGAAAAAGTCAGCCTGCCTCAAGCCCTTATCAAATGCCACCAAACAGAATACAGAGGCTAAGAGCTATGTGTAGTTTCAGTTTCATGAGAAAATCATAATTATAAGATATTGATAACTGCTCCTTTTGAGAGAACCCCTCTTGGTCCTTGGAAGATAGTGTGAAGACTTGTGACAAGTCCTCACAATCAGGGCAGCCAGACTGGAGTGAGAGGAAGTAATATAGCCGAGAAATCAATAGGAAGGAGCTTGACCTCCACCAGCTCCTACTAAAAAATTTACAAATGCAAAAACAGGAGCTGGCAAGACACATCCGCAGAAGCCACATTTCCTTGTGCTCCCAAATTCACAGGACCACCCCGGGGGGCACCTGTGTCCTGACTGTGTCCAGGGTCCACTCTCCTGAACTGCAATCAGGTCTCATGAACTCTTGTCCTAGTTTTCATGGGATATATAGCAAGTACATATGAAAATACCTGCTGAAAACACACAAAAATTAAAAAGCAGCCAAATACTGCTATGTCGCATTATACAGGGGAGGACCTTAGTACTGCTTTGACTTGATATGCCATGCTTTGCTGACTCCCTTGGGAGGCATTACCCTTTCTGTGGAGTGGAGGGCAAGGTGGGTAGAAAGGAGGTAGGAGAAGGAATGGGAGGAGAGGAGGGAGGGTTGGCATGTAAAACAGAATTTAAAAAAAATGATAGGAACAAAACAAAACCCCACAAATTATAATTTGTAAGGCCTCTGAACAAGTTTCTCTCCTAAAGGCACTAAGATGCACTTAAAACTCTGCAAATAGTTATATAATGTTTGGATATAGGAAAACTATAAAAATAAACAGGAGGTGATAATATTCCTGACATTTGCTCTTTGGGTGGGTTTTTTTGATGGACAATTTCTGGCCACTTTGCTTGTTTGGATCTTCGTGCTTCATATTTGTCTGTAATGAAAGTGTTCTCTAAGCATATAACAAGTGAGGCAGAATTAACCATCAGGGTGCTGTAGTTGAGAAGGCTTTGCAGTAACTGGGGGTGTCTATTTTCTGGCCTGATGAGATTCTGATCTTGACTTTCCTCAGCCAGATGAATCTCACAGCTCGCAGCAGGTGCCCTTTATTTTTGGATGGAGCTTGAAATCCACGTGTCTGTTTTTGTCTTCCTTGAACATCTTCAAATTGCAATCATGAATCATTTCATTGTTACCCACCTTTGAAAATCAGCACTGAGATGGAACTCTGAACTGAGACACGTGCTCTGTGATCCCAAGAGCTGCCAAGGAGTGATGCCTGGGCTGGGGATCTTCCAGCTCAGCAGCTTGGACCCCCTAGAGGAACAGACGCATAGTTTTCAAGGATGCAGGCATCACACATTGTCACTTAGTATACAAATAGGCAATCATTTGTCCTTCAACTAAAATATTTTTACACTACTTAAAAAAAAACAAACATGTTGTATTAGCTACGCTTTTACCTTAATGAGTTGAATCCTGACATCTAATGCATTAGGAACCTATTTTAACCCATTGAAAGTTCTAAACTTATATTTATTATCATTATTATTATTTTGTTTTGTTTGTTGTTTCTCTGTGACTTTGGAGGCTATCCTGGAACTAGCTCTTATAGTCAAGGCTGGTCTTGAACTCACAGAGATCCACCTGCCTATGCCTCCCAAGTGCTGGGATTAAAGGCATGCTCCACTACCGCCTGGGCAAAACATATTTTTTTTAAAAATCAGAATTGTTAAAAAAAATGTGAGCCAATTATAAAATCTCACAGTATAACTTCTTAAAAACAAATTGCACTCATCATTTGAAAGATTGTCAAAACTCTCTCTAATTTAAGCTATAAACTTTGTTATATATATAACATCTAGCTCTTCTGTATGGTGGTATCCATACCTCAACTAGGCAGGGCCAGACTGGAACCCAAGTCAGTAAAATGTAGATGTGAACAAACAAACCAACAAATTATGTATATAATACATGTACACATAATTATTAAAAGATTTCTGTAATTGCAACACAGATGTCTGCAGCTGTGTTTAAGGTATTTAATATGGAAACATAGGAGGCGAAACTTTCGACAGGATCAGGTTACTGTCAGCCATACTCTTTTTGCTTGTGAGGCTGGCCATTTGTGCTTGAAGGTTATGCAATCATTAATCCAACCAATTATGAGTCAAATGTCTTTACAGTTAATTATACCTGCTTTAAACATGAGCTGCCCTTTTTCTTGCCATTAACCCCTTGTATTCCCTATCATTCCACATAGCAATTGTAGATAGAGATGTCGTGTTGCATTAGGGATTACAGACAAGGGAAAGCTAACAGTCTGCCTGCACAAGGCTTGTTGAGGGTAGTATGTAAGTCCTCAGCCATTTTGAATAAAGGATAAGTGCTTTTTAAGAGTCCAGTGTCTCTGGGAATTCTGAAAGGAGTCCTTTATGATTACAGTATGGATGACTGTAGTTTCCCTTCATTACGATGCTGTTACATTTCAATGTGATAGCTACCTTTTGCATATGGCCAATATGCTAATCCAAAGAAGAGGAGCACAAGCAATTATTGATAAAAATCAGAGGCACGTAAGCCCTCAGTGTGCCACTGCCTCCCAAGACCAAGGAGAATTTCTGTTCATGTGACACTTTTAGGGTCAGTATCAATGATTCAGAGTCCCTAAAAATGGTGTGATGAACTCCAATTCTGTTAAATTTGCGGTTTTACTAGGATATATATTTTCAGTGGTTCACATGTTTGCCAGACTTAAATGTCTTCTGAAATTGAACTGAAAAATCATCTAATCGTGTTTTATGTATGTATAGTCAATATATGCATTTGTAATAAAGTCATCTATTGCTCTGGAATACAGTCTTATATTTGATGATATTTACTTATATACTGGGTAAATTCCCAATTTTCAAGCTTCTTTCTTCACATTCTTTGTTCTTCCACTATTTCTGCCATTTCAGTGTTTTGCCTCCACTGAAGTATTTTTTATATACAGCTCTTGTACTGTGTTTTCCAAAATAAAAGTCTCCAATTGATTTTGCTTCTGTTTCTTACTTTCTATTTTTACTGGGTTTTCCTGTATTTGTATGTATGTTAACGTAAAACAGAAGTAAAGTAATGCCGAAGACTCAGCACTTTCAGCCTTTCTAATGATTTTGTGTGTTTTGTCAGGTTTCTGAGACTGTGTTCCCAGTGAAAGGGAGATGAGAAACTACAAGATCACTTGGAAAGACCATCAATTCACTCTCCATTCACAGAGATTTATATTGTTTTCAGATTGGATTTGTGGTGTGTGTGTGTGTGTGTGTGTGTGTGTGTGAGAGAGAGAGAGAGAGAGAGAGAGAGAGAGAGAGAGAGAGAGAGAGAGAGAGAGAGAGAGAGAGAGAGAGAATAGCACACAACACTTGCGAAAGTATGATGCCAACATACAGGAACCAGTTATCTCTTTCTAACACATTAACTCAGTAAACTCAGGTCATCAGGCTTGGCAGAAAGCACCTTTATCTACTGAGCCGTGCCACTGGCCCTCAGATGTGCTGACACAGCAATACTCAGTGCTGGCCTGAGGGCTTACAGTGCACGTTGGGAGTATGGGAGCATTATGCAATGAAACAAGTAAGTGAAAATAGAAAGGTTTATACAGAGCGTCAATGATGTACATTTGCAGCCATTTCATTTCTTAGTGTTAATTTTAGGGAATAATTAACATATAGAGGAATCTGAGATATAGCCTATGAAAGACATTTATGGTTGACTTGTATTTGTGCACACGTGTGTGTGTGTGTGTGTGTCCCTATGTACTTGTGTATATACTGATAAAAACTGGATCTCTGTAAAGTTAGATGACTTATATTTATTACATTTTGACCCACATAGTGATAAATGATTCTAAAATTATATGAACTTTTAACTGTCACACAAATAAATTAATATAAAAATATATGAAAAGCAGATCCTGTGGAAGCAGAAATACAATAATTTCATTCCTTTTGCAATAAGAATGTAGGGGTATCATTTAAGCAGAGTGAAAGAAGCAGGGGTACGTCTGTGGAAAATGACCTTGTAGGATCTTTGAGGTTCCCTGTCAAATAGATTTTTATTGTTGCTGCTGTTCTATCCTGTAACTGCTATTCTTGCAGCAGTAGAAAACATCACTGGAGACACACACTTGGATTTGAAAAATGAATGACACAAGAGAGGCATAGAGATGTAGGGTTGAAAGAGTAATAAAATCATATTCGGGTCCAGGAAGAGCACACTTTGCAGATCAAAAATTCATAAAATAAAATGGATTTGCTGTACTCAAAACAGGAGCATGGAGCCATAGGTTTGGCTTATCCGGAGTGTCCATGAATTTGAGACGTTGGCAGTCCCTTCTAGCTATGCAAGCTTATGGACTTTCCCATGCCTGTGTGATCCAAAAAGATTGAAGTAAGAGCCCAGGATTGGAGTTCTTACCTTAATTGGACCCTTAGTATTGAAGTAAAGTTTCATCCAGGCAATAAATCACTTGAACACATATATACAAGGCACAGAACTCAAGAGAGAGTATATATACCTTCATGCCAACTCAAAATGTTTTGGGAGAAAATATCTACTTTCTTAAACACACAAAATTCATTCTGAAGAAAATCTGAAGTGCATTTAATCTTTTAAAAAGGGTGGCAGACTTGGGTGTGACGTGCATAGGTTTGTCAATCAAATTAGTTTCATACACCTCTGTATTGGGAGATTTGAGTCACTTATTTTCTAGACCTGGGACTGTTAAAGAACCACTTCACACTTCTGTCAGAGCACGTATGATGAGACACTTTTGACATACATTCACAAACCAAAACATGAGGCCCCTTAAACTTCTACAGCTAGAAACACTTTTAAAATACAACTTGAAAATGACTCAATTGTTATGTTGTTCTACAGTGTAGTCTTTTTATATTTGCAAGGAGACTTTTTTATGGTTGTCATAGGAGAATTATTTTGAAATGTCACCTTTAAATAGAAATATGTAATTTAAATGCTGCCTCAAAATGCGTAAAGAAAAGTTTTGATGTGAATGCAACATATTTTTTCCATGAAAGATTCATAAATACGAAGTTAAATCCAGTGACTGGGAGATTCTAAGTTGGTTTGACCAGGTTTTTTTTCCCCACAAAATGTTGACATACTTCTGAGAATCTGTCTGAAGTGAATACTTTCGTGAGGGTGACACGGTGGTACTTATACTTCTATTTAAGTAAGTGAGTCCATTCAAAGAAACCAATCTTATTTTGACAAGCTCCGGATTGTATTATAAATATCCCTTTAGGTAACAGTAATTCCTGAGTCAACCTACATGCTTAGATTATATTCACTTGCTTTTTAAACTAAAGGGTTTCATTATCACTAATTAAAAATAGCCTTCAGGCATGTGAGATGGGTCAGTAGGTAAAGATACTTGGCTGCTACTCCTGAGGACCTGAGTTGGATCCTTATGGACCAGGGCTAGAAAGAGAGACTGGATTCCTACAGTTCATTGTCTGGCCTCCACATGAATGCCACAGCCTGCACGCATACACACACACACACACACACACACAACGAGAAAGAGAGACATAAATAAATGTAAAAAAAAAACATTTTAGTGGCTCTCAAACTGTCCTCAGAAACAGAAGTACTCTATTGTTCTTAGTTTGAAACAGACATATTTAATTCATTTGAAACATATATTTAATATACAATATGGGAATTATCTGGATATATTCCTAAATTCCAGGTATACTGTATAAAATTGTCTGGATTATCCAAGCACTGAAGATAGTGATTCAAGGAGCTACCTTGATGAAGTTACAAAGGCATCTTGAATCATTCACAGGAAAGAAAACACTTTTAAAAATAAAGCCAGGAGAGAGATAAGGGAGAAGAGAGGGGGTGAGAGAAGAGAGGAGAAAGAGATAGCAGAGGAGAGAAGGAGAGAGAGAGAAGAGTGGAGAGAGGAGAAAGAGATAGAGAGAAATGAGAGCGGATTTCTTGCTGTGAATCTGTAGAGTACCATGTCTGCTTGCATGTACTGCGGGACTGTGCCTTCTGCGCTGTCCCTTGCTGCATTTCCTTCTTTGAGGCCTCGACTTCAAGGCAGGATAGAGAATTGTAGCCCTCAGAACAGTTAGCACATACTACAGTTTTCCTGACAAATTGGCAAGCTCCCTTTGGTTGAGGTTCATGACTGGAATAAAGTCCTGCCAGTTTCTGCCACTAATGTCATGGCTGCCCCGTACCTCACGGTTGCCCTTTCTCAGGGTTGACTGAGCAGGTCATCGCTCTTGACTCTTCGAAGAACC